ATTGGCTCGAACGTAAAAATCAACATTTGAGCGTTTGAATTCGTTAGAGAAACAGATCTCGACTATCGGATCGGAATCTACCGCGAGATTTGGTGCACTGGAGAATAAAATGATTTCCATCACGGCAACATTAGCTCGAATCGAATCTAACTCAGTATTCTCGCAAAGACTTGGCAAGGAGATCGCACATGATCGCCAATCTCAGGTACCGGTATCCTTTCCTACACCGGAAATATATCCAACAAAATTAGGCTATCGGGGAATGCAGAATACTTTAGTTAATCGTGATAAAATGCTTAAGAAGGTTGAGATTCCAGTGTTTTTGGGACCTCTGCCGTTTGATTAGATTTCTAGAGTGGACATATTTTTCAGGATCAGCAATTATAGTGAGGAGGAAAAGCTGTTTCTGGTTTCTCTCAGTTTGGAGGGGCCTGTGTTGAATTGGTTCAATGGGGAGTCAGTTAATGATCCGTTTGTGAGTTGGATATAGTTTACGGAGAGGATGCTTGACAGGTTTGCAGGACCACTTGAGAATGATCCAACGGCCAAGTTATTTTGTCTGCAACAAGAAGGAGACATAGCTGATTATGTAAGTGAATTTGAATCACTATGAAACCAAGTCACGGGTATAGATGGGAGGAACTTGATAAATGTGTTTTTAATGGTTTGAAGCCAGATATTAAAGAGATTATAAGGATGAAAGAACTGATAGGCCTTACCAACCACAAGTTAGCTGTTTTGAAAACGAGAGCACCACATTCTGTAAAGTGAAAAGTACAACTTCTGGTGGAGAAGGAAACAAAACGGCTCAACATCATAATATCTATAACAGGAACACGAGACCAGCAGTGGATAAACAATTGGTGACAGCAAATAGAAACAAGGAACACAATGGACAGCAAAACCAAAACCTCCGACCAAGACTTCAATTTTCTGATGCAGAACTTGATAAGATGAGAAGAGATAAAGTCTATTTCAGATGCAAGGCACCCTGGACCCCTGCTCATCGGGCTGAATGTCCTATTAAAGCCTTACGAGTTTTAACAGTCATCAGTGGGTTAGATTTGGAGTTGGTTGATTCTGATATAGAAGAAGAAGTACACAAAACACATCAACCACAACAGGTCTTACACACGTTGTCCTTCAACTCATACTTGGGAATCGACTCTCTAAAAACAGCAAAACTTTGTGGCTTTATACAAGACAAATAGGTGATAGTCATGCTTGATAGCGGAGCATCTCACAACTTCACTTCTCCTGGAGTTGTGAACAAGTTACACTTGAAAGTTTATGCAGATCGTAACTTGGAGGTGTTGTTGGGTAATGGAGTGACTGTTGAAGCCTTGGGAGTTTGTAGATCAGTCATCCTCTAATTAAATCAAACCAACTTCACTACTGACTTCATCTCTCTAGAACTGGGAAATATCGATGTTATACTTGGCATTCAGTGGCTTGAAACCTTAGGCAAATATGAAGTGGACTGGAAGGAGCAGGTCCTTTCCTTTGTCTATGAAGGGAAACGGGTTACTTTGAACGGTGATAGATCACTGCATTGTACGAAGTTCTCGTTCAAGTCTCTGAATCCAGTCTATACAGGGGGTAATGCAAGAAGAGAAGTGTTGCTTACCAACTCTATAGTTACATCGTCAACTCCAGAAAGTTCGTAAAAACTCTCATTGTTGTTACAAGAATTCTTGGATGTATTTGCAGTCCCAACAGCCTTACCTCCTTTTAGAGGAAAAGAACACGCAATCAACTTACTTCCGGGAATCACAGCAGTATATGTTCGTCCATACCGTTACCCACACGCAAGCAAGGTGGCAATGGAACAGATGGTGAAAGAAATGCTCTCATCCTGTATTATTCAACCTAGCACAAGTCCTTTTCAAGCCTTGTCTTGTTAGTAAAGAAGAAAGATGGCTCTTTGCGTTTTTGTGTTGACTACATGGCCTTAAATCGAGCTACTATACTGGAAAAATACCCTATTCCGGTTATAGACCAACTGCTGGATGAGCTGCATGGTGCTTCAGTGTTTACTAAACTTGATCTTTGGTCTGGATATCATCAAATCAGAATGGTAGAAGCAGATATTCCGAAGACAGCGTTTAGAACTGTTGAAGGCCATTACGAATTCTTAGTAATGCCCTTCGGTCTTACCAACACACCGGAAACCTTTCAAGCTCTGATGAAAAAGGTGTTTAAGTCATTTCTGAGACAATTTGTATTAGTCTTCTTTGATGACATCTTGATATACAGTCACACTCATGAGGAACATCAAGCTCATGTCAAACAAGTCTTGCAAGTGTTACGTGATCAAAGCTTGTTTGCTAATCAGAAGAAGTGCACATTTGGGGTTTCCAGAGTGGAGTATTTGTACCATATGATCTCAGATCATGGTGTAGCAACGGATTCAACATTGAAGTATGCAATGAATTTGTGGCCAGTTCCTAAAACTGTGAAGCAGCTGCGGGGGTTTCTTGGTCTCACAGGTTATTATAGGCATTTTATCAGGAATTATGGGACTATTGCAAGACCATTAACGACGTTATTAAAGAAGGATCAGTTCTCATGGTCACCAGAGGCTCAAGAGGCGTTTGAGAAGTTAAAACATGCTATGGTGAGTGCTCCGGTTTTAGCTCTGCCAGATTTTCAACAGGTCTTTGTGGTGGAATCAGACGCATCTGTGTTTGGTTTGGGAGAAATGTTGATGCAGAACAAGCAGCCTATAGACTTCTTTAGCGGAAGCACTATCTACTTGGCCAAAAATTTCATGTTCATACAGACCAAAGGAGCTTGAAATTTCTCTTAGAACAGAAAGAGGTTAATTTGGAATATCAGAGGTGGTTGCCAAAGCTGTTAGGATTTGATTTTGACATCTTTTATAAATCTGGTCCAGAGAATAAAGCAGTTGATGGGTTATCACGTTGTATGTATGTGGCTTCGTTGCTGTTACCTTTAACCGTGCCAACAGCTCTGCAATGGGAGGATTTATACAAAGAAATAAGTGATGATACGAAGATACATAAGCTTATTCACCAAATTCAAAAAGGCGAACTACAATATAAGAAGTATTCAGTGGTGGATGGGAGGTTATGGTCTAAAAGAAGGCTGGTGATTCCAAAAACATCACAGTTCATTCAGGTTATATTGCAAGAAGCTCATGATAGTAAGTCTGAGGGTCACTCAGGAATGTTAAAGATGATGAAGAGAATTCAGACTTCTTTCTATTGGGATGGAATATATAAACAGGTTCAGAAATATATAGCTGCTTGTGGCATATTTCAGACACACAAACATTCAACCTTGTCACCAGCAGGCTTGCTCCAGCCTTTGCTTATTCATGCTTCGATTTGGGAAGATATCAACATGGATTTTATAAACGGATTACCAATTTCGAATGGCTTCAATAGTATACTAGTGGTGATTGATCGGTTAAGCAAATTTGCGCATTTTGTGAGTCTTAAGCACCCTTACTCTGCTTTGGATGTGGCTAAGAAATTTGTGACTGACATTGTGCGCCTACATGGGTTTCCCAAGAGTATCACATCTGCCAGAGACAGAGACCTTTTTGAGTGCTTTCTGGACAGCGATCTTTCGGCTTTCCGGTACCAAACTTCAATACATCACTTCTTTTCATCCACAGACAGACGGCCAATCCGAAGTCTTGAACCGTTGTTTGGAGACATATTTGAGATGTTTCTCTTCATCACATCCTCGGACTTGGTATTCTTACTTGGCTTGGGCAGAACTTTGGTATAACACGACTTACCATAAGTCCATTCAGACTACTCCTTTTAAAGTAGTCTAAGGTTGTGACCCACCTACTATCTTGAGGTTTGAATAAGGCTCAACTGATAACTTTGAATTGGAGAGAGCGTTAACTGAAAGAGATGAGGTGTTAGCTTCGTTGAAACTGACTCTTTCTCGAGCTCAGGAGATCATGAAACAACAGGCGGATAAGTCTAAGGATGTTCAACTAGCAGTGGGGGACATGGTATATTTAAAATTACAGCCTTATAGACAGGAAATTGTGGCTCACCGTATTTGTCAGAAGTTGGCATCGAAATATTACGGTCCTTATCGTGTGTTGGAGAAGATTGGGAATACAACTTACAAACTACAATTACCTCCGGCAGCAAAGATTCATCATGTTTTCCACATATCTCAGTTAAAGTTGGCCTTGGGTTTACATGAGCAGTCAGGCGTATTGCCTCCAGAGAGTATAACAGAGGTGGATGAACCCGTTGTTCCAGAGGATGTGTTGGAAAAACGTTATGGCACTAAAGAGGAGTTGGAATTATCAGGGGTTTATCACGCGTTTTCCGACTTACCAGCTTGAGGGCAAGCTGGATTTCGTTGGGGGAAGTATTGATAGATTCAGAAAAGTTTATTACCCTAAGAGGAAGGGAAAAGGAGAGAAGAAAGTTCGAGAAGAGGAGAAGGAAGTTCGTGAGGAGGAAGTGACGAAGGAACTTAATTTAAATGAAGAAGACCCTTGGAATGGAGCAGAGTGATTCAAATAAAGAATGAAAAAGACCTTTGGAATGGAACATAGTTTTTCAAATAAAGAAGACCTTTGGAGTGAAGTAAAGCGTTTGCGGTTATTCTCATAGCCGTTAGTGTTGAGTTTAAATAAGGAGATGTTAGATCATTTGTTCTTTATGCTTTGTATGTGATTGTAGAGTGGCAATATGAGTCCTCTTTATCCAATCGTTATGAGACTGTCGATGATGGTGATCTCGTGATGAGAGTGATCCATTGTTAAACTATTGAGCTGTAACACTTGTTCTATTCGTATTCAATAAGAGAGTTTGGGATTTACAGGTATTCGACAGTCTATCAATCTCGTCATAGTTCTTTAAATTCCATTAAGAAAAGAATTCAGATAAACGAGTTTACTACAGTTTGCTCAGTTTGCTATACCCCCAAACAAAACTACTCCCTCGTTTACCAGTACTTGAATTTAACTTTCAACTATACACACATACACACAAGTTTTCTTATATAGTTGATGTCTTGACAATGATGATGATGATGATGATGATGATGATACAGTATATGAGAGAGTAGAAAACATCATCGTATGTAGGGAAGGTCAATGGTCCATCGCCAAGGACTAGCACACAAGTCACAAGAACCGCGACAAAGATTGTGAAAATCAGAAACGATTTACACGGGTCAGCGCTGTTCTGTTTCTCTGCCCCAACTGTCATAATCGCTTCACTTCCACTTCCAAGTTGAAACACCGGACAAGTGAAGAATCCGTACACAACCCCAGCTAAAAGTGCTCCCAGATTTTTCATGTCATAACTCCCACACATGGTAGAACCAAACACACATTACCCCTGATAAGGTGAAAGCTTACCAGTCATCTATTGGACAGAAATGACTTAATATGAGACCAAGTCCTGTCATTATAATGGCCTTCTGAAACAAGTCTTCGTACTCATCTCTTTGATCATATCCTTGTTATGAGATTGGTCAACAAGCCAAGCTCCTATTAATGCGAATGCTGGCCCCTACACAAACCAGATCAGATTACATGATTTGATATTTTGAAGTTCAGGAACGGTGCAACTCGGTGGAAGAAACAAGTTTAACTAACAGTTCCTCCAACTGTAGGATCTGGTGTATGAAGAAAGCTCATGAAATTACTAGAGACACCTCCGAGAATGTATATGAGACAGAACGTGAGTAGCCCATAGTCACGGCAGACTTTTGGTCCAAAGGTAAGCAGAGTCCATGAGCTAAGAGCTACATGAGGAACCCCAGAGTGCTGCAAACGCAAAATGAAGTGTATCAGTTACAAACATAGGGGAAAATTACATGAAACAAAGACATCATCAAGAGGGCTGAGTTTGACAAGATTCTGCTTCAAAATAGCTGTTCTGGTCAAGTGTGTGTCTAGTCCAGTAAAAGAATGGGGGAAAAGACCCAATCTGTTGGTCTTGTACCAGAAACATGGGCGTGACCAGCCTCCACCATTCGCCAGCCACGATTAGATCGTTTATCTTTGCTCCATACAACAGCGGGAGAGATAAGAGTCCCATATCATTTTTCCTCACTGGAGCTGCCGCTTAAAACAGACACACTCCCACATTTATGGATGCCAATATGCTCCTGGAGACACACAAGGAAGAAAGTGTCTTTTAACTATCTACAATAGCATGTATTACACATCTAAGACGAAGATTGTAGAGTTTTTACACAGTATAGAAGTTCAGTGTAGCTTCTCCTTGATCATCATCATCAAGCTGCTGAAAAGAGCTATTGTTATTACTTTTGATATCAGCTTTTCTCAATTTGCTTGCTACTGAACCTTCTTCTGGTTATATTATCGCATCTGAGGGTCAAAGAAACAGCCAAGTAAGTGACTGTTAACAACAGCAAAGCCAACGAAAGATAGATCATGCTATTAATCTAACACCTTTTTGTTGTTTGTCAAGACAAACGCTCAATGATTCTAAATCCTCCTCTGCAGTGAGTTCATCTGCCCTTGAAACAGAAGGCTTCTCATCGCCGCTTTGAAGTTTCCCAAAGTAGGAATCTAACAGTTGAAGTCTCTTTTTGATAGTCTTGGTCTCTGATGACGCCCTGACCAAGCATAGCTTTCCTCTTGATGAAAGACAACACGGCATCGATCTTATATGAGTCTTCTTCCTAGAATCTCTTCCCAGAGCGGTTTTTCTATGTTTCAGACCACTAGTGCTACTGCTAGTAACCTCTGCCTTCATCAATACGCCCAAAGCCGGACATGGAAAGGTCCTGCCAGACGGAAAACTTTTTCTGGAACCATTCAGATCAAACAAAATTTCTCCTCTGGTATGACGACTTGAATTTCTATGCTGGAAAACACGGTCTTTAAAGGGGAACTCATGGTGAAGAGGATACAACGCCATTACAAGAGCTCGAATCCGTTCATTAAGAAGAACATGTCGTCATCATCATCATCATATCTCTATGAACCAACCGCCACCGACAGGTTTTTAAGATTACAAAAGGAACAAACATCGAACATAAATTGTCAGAAACAGAAGCAGAGAAAGTTGATGAAAATTACCTTTGAAAGAAGAAACCTGATCCTCTCTTTGGCTTGCGCAGACCGTAAGATGAAGATTGTGGCTGCGAGGAGAATTAGGATTTAGGATGACGATAAGTGAGTGTCTTTGGTAATGAAAATTACGTTAAAGACCGACAAATAAAAAACAAATATTTTTATTAATAATAGTTTCAAGTTCCCTTTTTAGATATTTATGTTGTTTGAACAGTACTGACTCACATGTCACGAATCACAAGTACAACTCCCCAGAGCTGACCATTTGTTTTCTTTTTGTAATTTATACATCCTAAATATATTTGATTCTTTTTGTTTTTGTTTTTTTTTGTAAACTGGCTTTCATTAAATTTAAAACAAGGGAAATAAAAAAAATACAAATCTTTAGTCTTAAGTTTGTTTTTAGGCTACATCCAGTGTTTTTCTTTTAGTGGACACACATATCAGTATAACTAGTAGCCCAAGTTAGAATAACTGGCCCAGTAAAGGAAAATGAGACGGTTTTTGTCACGGGGAGTTGGTGAGATTTTTCGTCTTTGTTTTCTCCGCAGAAGCTATGATCGGAGAAGCCACAGTTGCATCATAGAAGAGAAAGCTCTGGAGTTTGCATGGCGAAAGCTTTGAAGACGGTTTCGGATTTGTTTATCAACAGAGGCAAAGATAGCTTCAGACTATTTGAATACTTGCTGGTGAAGTCTTGTGTTTTTCTCTAGCCAAATCCAATAGATGGTTGCTTGTGTTGGTAGGAGAGAAAGACGACGCGTATCGCGATTTCCATGGAGCGACTGTAGTTCCGAGACCGTATCCTCCCAAGTATTTGTTGTTTGAAGTTGACAACGATCCGCGGTCCTCGTCCAGATGGTGTAGCTGTAAGGACACTCAAAAAGAGGTGATTCCTAGTCTCAATCCCTGTATTACATAGTAAGCAATTGGGATCTACAGTAAGTCCCCGTCTGTTTAACCTGTCTCTTGTAGGGCATCTATCTAGCAGCACAAGCCACATCAGAAAGCTATGGCGAGGAATGCCATAAGAGAACCAGAAAATCTTTGCCCATGGAACATGAGGTTTCTGACCTTTGAGGTAAGTGTAGACTTCACCATTGTTATACTTAGTTCATGATTTACCATCAATGACCCACTCATTGTAGTCGTTCATATCCGATAGCACAACGGTTGTGAGATGAATCTGCAAGGCAAGTTGATGTTCTATTCTAGCTGGAGGTAGCAACCACCTTCCTTCCCTAAAGAGAGAGGCCACCGTTGCTGATTTTGGGATTCTTAGTCGTGAGGAGCTAGCATTAAGCAGTGTATAGAGTTTCCCCATTGGAGACCAGTTATCAAACCAGAATTGCGTAGATTCTCCATTACCAATACGTCTTCTGAGCAAGGGATAAATTAAATCACGCGCCTTTATCATCTTGTTAACCAGCCAAGAGTAATTTGTATTTGTGTTAATAGACCACTAGTTAGAGATGTCGCCTTTTAAAATGACCTTTTTGAACCAGCAAACCCATACCAAAGATGGACGAAAGAACAACATCCAGATGAGCTTCAGAATGCAAGCGAGATTCCAATTGTGGAGGTCTTTAACTCCAAGCTCTCCTTGATCCTTTGTAAGTGTTACTGTTTCCCAATCCACTTTGGCATTATAATGCTTTAGCGATGTCAACTTTGATGGTGATTTTCTTTGACCCCCTATTCTTATGATATCCATTTACTAATTCGCTTGCGAGCACTGGTTTCTCAATGAGTAATCTCCCTTCCACAATTGCAGTCTGGTTAGGCATGATTAGATCCTTCAGAATAGGCTTTAGACGTCTCACAAGAAGCCTTGAAATGACTTTGTAGAGAGTGTTCAAACATGCACTACAAGAAAACACCGCGATTCTGACGGACATTCTGACGGAAAATGTATTCCTCGGTAAATTCCGAGGCAATCCCGAGGAAACCCAAATTGGGTTTCCTCGGAATATACCGACGGAATTTCGAGGAAAGTTTATTCCTCAGAAAAAACCGACGAAAATCCGAGGATATATTATAGCCGTTAGAGAGCCGTTGGGGGATTTTAAAAATTCCGAGGAAATTCCGAGGAACTAGCCGTTGCTGTCAGAATTCCATCGAAGTTTTCTCAGAATTGTCGGCACATTTCATCTATAAATACAAGCACCCTAATCCTCTTCATTCACTCCATATCTTCATCCTCTTACATACTATATTTACACACGAATTTGATTGAAAAAAGCATGTCTTCTTCTAATTATTATCGTTCTTGGATCGATCGACCTCATTTGGATCCTAACACGAGATTGCTTACGGAAGAGTACCAAAGTGGTTTAGGCGAATTCATGGCGTTAGTTCAACGACAACCGGAAGCAAAAACGGGTATGTTAAGATGTCCTTGCTCTACTTGTAAAAATAAAAAGGTTATTAAAGAGTTAGATACTGAGCAGATGCTAAATGATCATTTTAGAGGGGAAGATTTACCCAATGCAGAAGCTAGGAGATTTTTTGATATGTTGGATGCAGGAAAGCAACCTTCGTACGAAGGTTGCAGAGATGGTCATTCAGCTTTATCATTTTCAACAAAACTGATGCGCATTAAAACAGATTATAATTTGGCTGAAGACTGTGTGGATGCGATTGCTAATTTTGTAAAAGGTATTGTACCTGAGGATAATGTAGCCCCTGGTTCATACTATGAGGTTCAGAAACTGGTAGCTGGTCTTGGTTTATCGTATCAGGTAATAGATGTATGCAGCGATAACTGCATGATTTATTGGAGGACAGATGAGCAGCGGGTTACATGCAAATTTTGTGGGAAGGCTCTTTATAAAGATACGAGTGGAAGAGTTCCAGGGCCATACAAAAGGATGTAGTATCTGCCTTTGACGGAAAGGTTGCAGAGGTTGTATCAGTCTGAACGCACAGCGCAACCAATGAGATGGCATGCAGAGCATTCAACAGATGGTGAGATTAGACATCCTTCAGATGCAAAAGCTTGGAAGCATTTCCAATCAACATATCCAGATTTTGCGTATGAGAGAAGAAATGTCTACCTTGGATTATGTACGGATGGTTTCGGCCCATTTGGCAAGCATGGGAGACAATATTCTCTATGGCCAGTCATTCTTACACCATACAACTTACCGCCAAACTCGTTCTTGCGTCGAGAGTTTTTGTTTCTTTCCATTCTCGTTCCTGGGCCAGAGAATCCTAGGAGATCACTTGATGTGTTTCTTCAGCCACTAATATATGAGTTGCAACAACTATGGGCTCAAGGTGCTGAAACATACGATGTTTCGTGTAAGGAAAACTTTCAAATGCGGGCAGTACTTATGTGGACAATAAGTGATTTTCCAGCATTTGGTATGTTATCTGGATGGACAACGCATGGAAGGCTATCATGTCCATATTGTCAAGATAACACTGATGCTTTCCAATTAAAACACGGAAGGAAAACATGTTGGTTTGACTGTGACAGGAGATTCCTATCACCTGACCATTCATATCGTAGGAGTAGAAATTTGTTTACGAAGAATAAGAGGGTGTTTGACAGTCCACCTCCGTAAATATGTGGGGCATATTTTTTGACACAGCTAAGGGATTTTGGTGCAGAAAGGACGCCAGGCGTCAGTGGACATGTGCATTATCCAGTAGATGCTATTGGAGAACTACATAACTAGCACAAAAAGAGTATTTTCTGGGATCTGCCATACTGGAAGGATCATCTGCTGAGGCATAATTTATATGTCATGCATATTGAGAAGAATTATTTTGACAATCTCATGAACACGATTCTTAGTGTTCAAGATAAAACAAAGGATAACTTGAAGTCAAGACTGGATTTAGTCGATATATGTGCTCGTTCAGAACTTCATGTTGATGAGAATGGTTGGGCTCCTTTTCCTTATATACCGACTGAATTCAGAGGCAAAGGATGTTTTCTTTGAGTGGATTTCATAGGATGTGGAATATCCAGACAGTTATGCATCAAATTTGCGTAACTGTGTCGACATAAACGAAGGAAAGTTTATCGGCTTGAAGAGTCACGATTGCCATGTAATGATGCAGCGCCTCCTTCTGTTTGCCTTCAAGGAACTATTACCACGGAATGTTTATGAAGTAGTTGCAGGGATAAGTGATTTCTTCTGCGATTTATGCACGAGATCAGTGACTCTTGAAGGTATTGAAATTTGAAGACTATTATAGCTGTGATCCAGTGCAACCTTGCAAAGATATTTCCTCCATCATTTTTTTGATGTTATGGAGCATCTTGTTATCCACCTGGCAAGAGAATTGAAACTTGGTGGTCCAGTGCAGTATAGATGGATGTATCTGTATGAGCGGTATATGTTCCATCTGAAGAAGATGGTGAAAAATTTAAGTAGGGTAGAAGGATCTATAGACGCACAAATGATCAATGAAGAAACTTCAAACTTTGCCGAGTACTACTTTCCAGCAGAAGTGCAGACCAAAAACAGAAGACCTGCTCGGCATGATGATAGAGGCGAAAGGGCAACATATTATATTACAGTTCCAGACATCTTCACAGATGTTGGGCGACTTAGCGGAAAACCAAAGGACTGTCGACTTACTGAGTAGGAGCACAGTCATTTGCAAACATATTTGCTCACCAACTGCGAAGATGTTCTTCAATATGAGAGGTAAATAAATTTAAATTTTTTTATTTTAACAAGTTGAAATTTAAATCTTAATTAATTAGTTACATTATTGTATATGTACAGGATTTATATGACAGAAAAACGGTTCGAATATAGACACGCCACAGAGGAGGAACTAGAAGAACTAAAGCAGTTAGAATTTCCTGGATGGATGTTATGTGAG